ATATCTATCTGGCACATCCTGTCAGATTAGGCCTTTTAGAGTTAGGTGTACACACAGGAGCATCTCAGACTTTTTCTTATGCCTTCATTGAACTGGAGTCTGAGCACGTGGCCACTTATTTACCTACTGCAGTTCCCTTAGGAACACATGGCAGCTATGTGAGGATTCAAACAGATGAGACAAAGATGCAGCAGCTCATTCTGCCCATAAAGCCAAAACAGGTTTCTTTCTTACAAGCATTAATGTCACTCCTGTTGGCTGCCCATACGCTTTGTCTCACTGGGAGCCAATTAGAACTAGTGGCCTTTATGCCTGAGTAGTCTTTCTGTCTCAGGAGACACGAAGCCTTTTTTGGAAATTGTCAGAACTGAGGAGTTACCTCAGAATTCCACTGTGCTGTCTTTATAAGGCATACAAATAAAATAATAAAGGGACGATGCTTGAATCCATTTTAGAAATTGTGAAAGGACATAAATTTGGACCCAGCCTAAATTGAAAACTGAGTTCAGCATTTGAATTCTGCTCACGTTGGGGCAATCAAAGGGAGCTCCAATTTTTACAAAACTGCACAATTAAATAACAGATGTTTTCCATAAGGAATCATGACGGTTTTCTTTGCTTTATACATTTCAAAAAGCAGGTAGGATTATATCTTTATTTTTCTCCAGGTTTCATTAATGCAAGGTCATTGACTTAAAAATAGTCCTGGTGTGTGCTATAGGCTCTTTCAGGTGTGATCTGCAACATGTTAAAATTGCTGGACATTTAAAAAGCTGACTAGAGATGGTAGTAGGCTGCAGGTGAAATTGGAAGTTTGCTTGAATAATTATTGGGCATAAAATGAGTTTTACAGTGCTATCCTGACCAGAATTACATCAATGGTTTTAGAACGGTGTAACCCTCTTTAGGGTTGCACTATTAGTTGTCTTTCTGTCTTCCATTGTCTACCTGAAATTAAGGTAACAATCCTATCCATACATAGCTGAGGAAGCCTAATGGGTAGTATGAAATGAAGCACATGATCCGGTACCGCACCTGCCATGTAAAGATCCTGTCACTCCATGAGTTGCTCCGGAACTTCCATAGGGCTAGTGTGGTGTAGTGGTTAGAATGTGAGATGAGGATCTGGGAGACCCAGACTTGTATACCTCTCTGCAAGGAAGCTTGTTCTGTGATCTCACTCTCAACCTAACCTACCTCACAGGGTTGTCCTGATGATAAAATGGAGGTGAGGAGAATAATGTAAGCCATGGTGGGTCCTCATCGGGGATAAAGATGGGGAATGAATGAGGTGAATAAATGAATAAATATTTGCAAGAAGATGCATGGTACAGTCAGACATCCTGACTAGCTAAGGTCCTCTTGGATTCCAGCCACGTAAAGAATGGACAGTGTTTAAATATTACTGAAGACTTAAAGGGATTTTTAAGACAATACGTAACACATCCGACATAGCCGTCCAGTCTTCCTGAGTTTATCAAAACAGCAAAAACCCATCTCCTGTATCTGAGCTAGAATTCTCCTGCCATGCATGGCAGTGGAAGTTGGGTGGAGGTAGGGACATGGGGGGGGATGCCATCCGCAATGGCTAACATTACTTCTGGGGGAAACCCAGAAGCATTACCAGTCCTTTCTAGGAACTGCCAGTAATTCACATAGAGGACAGGCATCATTTCCAGGTTTTCCTGGAAGTGACCTCATGCCAACAGTGGATTTTAAAAAAAAATCTCCCACCAGCCACTGGAGTGCTGATAGGCAATGGTCACTGGGGGTGGAAGATCTCCCATCCCCAGCAGGAGTACTTCAGCCCTAATCTAAGCCCCAGCTTATCCTGTAAGAAATTATGCAGCCACTATGTTTGCATAATCATAATATCAGAGCTTGGCCCAGCAGTCACTTAACAGAGGAGTTATTTTTCCCACCCACTTCAGAACATTCCAGATGCTGCTGCATCTAAAAGGAATATTGCTATAGCCTGCTGTGGAGACTAGACCTCACAAACCCCCAAAACACTTGTCCTAAATTTATCTGTCTTACATTAGATGAACAAGATCTGCAAAATCTTAAAACTTAGGAGCGTGATTTGTTTAGTGTACATTTGTGATTCTGTGGGCACCCGCTGTGATCCACTACACATGCGCATATACGGTGCACTGTATGGCCAGCTGCAGTCTTGGCCTTGGCTGGGGATAATCATTGGGCGTGGGAGAGAGGGGAAGTTGGTAGATATCGCCTTTAAAAGGGTAAAAACAACCACATTTGAATGGAAATCATGTTCATAAATATGAAAAGGTATATTCACTGTTGAAATAATATGACTATAACATTTCTAAAACCTGTTACTAGGACTTACATTGGGTTTTACTTTTTCAGCTTGATCCTCTCCCTGAAAAGGTGTTACAGGAAAGGGCAAATACCAATGCGTTGCGTTCCATTGAAAAAGTCATTGAAATACACAGTGAGTGGTTTTGTGTTTTTGGCATTCTCTGTATAATTTCTGAATGGTTATTTCTAAAAGTGGAATTTTATAACATAGTTTTCTACAATTTACACGTCAAATGATGAATCATTTCAAAATTGTATATGAACTGTATTAGTAAGAACACCTCAGAATAAGAAGCAATGTAAAATGTTTTGTCAAAAAAGATTCAGGGGAGAAAAAAGTGGACCATAAGAGAAAACAAAATCCCACAAGAACCCAAAAATGAACCAAAAGAGAGTATTCAAGGAAACAGATGGGGTTGGACCCATGCATCTGCAAATGGAACCTGTTTCTACTGCCTTCCCCAAGCAAGCCCCTGTGTGTCTGAAAATCCACTGCTAAAGGTTTAAGGACTCTGCAGATCAAAATATGTAGCAGCTGAGGGAGCTGTGGCAAGAAAAAAGTGTTGAAAGAAATTCACACACACGCACTCTTGGTCAAGCACTGCAAGCTCCCAGAACAGAGCAAAACTTGTTCAAGAGTATAGAGTGTCCGATTCTGGCCAGTTCCACCTTCCTGCTATATTCGTTTGAATTTCCCTTTGCCACGTGTTATAGTGTTCTGGAATGTTCCTGGACCTTCTCAAACGTTTACTGGGGGAAAGGCCATTAAAATCACTTCTGCAAACTCTGTCAGTTTGGAGAAGCATTGGATCCCTCCCCATTACCGTTGCTGACTCTGGGCTGGGAAATTCCTAGAGATTTTGGGGTAGAGCCTCAGGAGGGACTTCAGCATGGCACAGAGGCCAAAGCAGCCATTTCCCCCAGGGGAAGGGATGGAGGTGGTTAAATGTGTGCTCCCATAGTATTTTCATACCAAGATCAAAGTGCACATTTTAATAGGGTTACATTGAACAGTCTGGAAGTGTTAATTCAGAACACAGAAGCACTCAGGTAAGTGTAGAACTAAAATGTGGGATCTGAGGGGGATGTAGAGTTGCCAGCTCAGGTTTGGGAAATTCCTGGAGACTTGGGGGCAGAGCCTGGGGAAGACAGAATTTGTGGAAGGGAAGGGACCTCAGCAGAGAGCCAGTTTGGTATAATGGCTAAAAGCGCGGACTCTAATCTGGGAAAACCGGCTTTGATTCCCCACTCCTCCACATGCAGCCAGCTGGGTGACCTTGGGTCAGTCATACGTTCTCTCAGAACTTGAAGGTTGACAAGCCTAGGGGTAGGAAGACCTGCTGCTGACACATTGCAGAAGCCAACTCATCATTCAGAAAACTTAAGTATGTAACATGTCCAGTTGGTTATCACACCACTGTCTTCATCAGAAAGGGAAACAACTCGAATATAATAGAGCTCCGGAAACATGATGATAATTCCAGATGAGGTCATATGGGTCTGTAGCACCAAAATAGACGAAGAGCCCAGAGGCATCTTAGAAGTTAATAGAATGTACTGTTGGTTTAGATATTTATAGCCTGCTTTTCTACACCAACAGCAACACCATGAGAGAGAGAGAGTGTGTCTGTGTCTGTGTCTGGTCTAGTGTCACCCAGCAAGCTTCCATGGCAGAGCTGGGATTTGAACTGGGATCTCCCAGATCTTAGTCTAGCCCTCTAAACACTACACCCCTTTATCTGCAGTTTTTAGTATAAATGGACTCGCATGACGGATCAATACTTTATGCACTTGGTGAAATGAGGTCTGCATCATGAAAGCTGATGTAGAATAATATTTTTAAATTTTAAGGTGGCATTGGACTTCAGTTTTACTTTGCTGCAGAAACGGGGAGGAAGGTTCTGCAAGTTTTCCCTCTCTTTCGTTTCTTACTGAGTGCTGTGCTTAGTATCTTTCTTCCAAGCATACCTGAGGTGTTGTATTTTCTCCTTCCCCAACTCACTTTTCTAAAAGCTACTGAACTATTCTTTTAGACAATCAATATCTGGCCTGCTGAATAATTAGGTCAATCCTTGCAACAAAAATGAAGTCGAGGGTAGTATTGCCAGCCTCCAGGTGGTTGTCACGAGTCTCTTGGTCACCCGTGGACTTTGCCCCAGATGCCACTTTGCCAAGATGGGGGTCCATCGGTAGTCCTCCTTACACGGAATCTGGTGCGCTGCCTGGCAAGGGAGGGGGAAGGAGAGGGGGAGGAGTGAGGACAGGAGTTGCCTCAGTCTTGAGAAGGGGGGGGGTTACATCACCAACTCCCCTGCAAGCTCCCTGGGCCTTGTTATGCCAACTTCTCCAGGAAATTCCTGGAGACCCAATCCAAGTTATCTACCAAGGAAGTTTGGGTGTTTGTGGCTGTGCGTAAGTTCTTCCTGTCTCATCCCCCCCCCCCAGGCCAGCCCTGCCTCCAGTTTAAAGACAAGGATGCCAGGTCTGTGTCCCTCTCCCAGCCCCACTCCACCCCCAACTAGCTGGATGGGCTGGGGATGGCCATGCAGGCTGGCTGCTGCTGCCCAGGCCGCCAGTCTTGTCACTTGGGACAGCCTGGCACAGCTGCAATTCAGGCCAAACCACCCCGGGCCTGTTTCTTGCAGCGGGAAAGCGGGTAGCTGCTCATCGCTCCTTCGGCTGTTGTGGGGACGGGCTGCCACTGCCATCTTTCACAAGCTGGTGTTGGAGCTGCCTGCCTTCTCCCCCCACTGGTGAGTGCTGGGGTGGGGGGCTCGGTCTGCCTGCGGGAGTCTCCCCCCAGGCCTTTTCCCTTGTTGGGGGTTGCTGGGGGCCGGCGTCCAACAGGCTCCCCCAGGGGGGACCTCGCTGGGACCAGGCCAGGACCGGACAGTGGGGCCTGGAGATTCCCTCAAATTACAGTTGATTTCCAGATGACAGATGAAGAAAATGGCTGCTTTGGAGGATAGACTCTAAGGGATTATACCTTGCTGAGGTCCACGCATGGGCTCCACCCCCAAATCTCCAGGAGTTTCCCAACCTGGAGTTGGCAACCCTAGTTGTGAATCCGTATGGTTGGTTGCTTACATAGCATGACTAACAGTGCACTCCAAAAGGCTCTTTCTTGGGAGTAAGCCTTACTGAATTGGATTCTGAGCTGACCTGCATATAGGATGGTACTGCCATGTTTGTAATTTAGATTCTTAACAGTGAATGCAGTGATGGTGCATCCATTTGTATTTTTCTTTTAGGTAAGTACTGGCATTCACTCCAGCGTTATTCCTCGACAGTCGGCTACTCTTTGATAGAGGCGCAAAAGTGTGAGAATGAAGAAGCAGAAACCGTAACAGCTATGGCATCGTTGTCAGTGGGAGTCAATCCACCCCTTGACAAAAAGTGAGTTCCCTTCCTTTCTCTCCATCTCCAAGTCAGACTGTGATATTTTAGAGAGGAAGTGGAAGATAACTCTGCCAGTCAACTTGTAACTAATTAGCCCTCCGATGGAGTTCTGTCCTGGCTTAAAGAAAAATGGAAGCGACGCACAGAGGCTCCAAAAGACAGCAAAGGCCTTAAATGCAAAATCCAGAGAGAAGCGTCCAAGAACAGCTGACTGTGTTCCACCTAGAGAAAGAAAGAAAATCAGTGAAATTATAATAGACTTGGAATTTCAAAATGCTGAAAAGGCCTGCATCGTAGTACTGATCTGATCTAATTTATTACAGCAAGAGCCAGTAAAACAGTACAATTCTGATATAAAAAAGATTAAAACAGTAATAGCATAGCAATAGTATAAAAACATTAACGAGAAAATTAATAAAGTTAGTAAAATAAAATAATATTAATAAGAGAATCGCTTCTCGGCCTTTTGGCTAAGAAGTGTAAACATTATCTACCTAAGTCATCTGTAGTACTTCTGTTCATGAAAGACATTGGTCTTACTCTAGGCACATTTACTTTGGATGGATAATAAATAAATGGGCAATTAAAGTTTGTCTAAAGTTTTCTTAAAGAGTTTAAAATACGGCTGATCAGGCTATTCTCGGGACAAAGCAAATTCTTACACTACCAAGGTAGACTTCGACACCCTGGAAATCCCTTCAGACATCTCGATACTTTCTCTCTGTGGCCTCTGTAATGCGAAGCATAGAAAAATTAATTTTTTTCCCCCAAGGCTGAGCATTCGTTAGCATAATTATACTGAATACAGGGAAAGGGAGGTGAAACCCAGAAATCAGACTGATTCAGTTGACAATTCACTTTGGTTCTGAGAACCGAGCATCGTTCCAGATGGTCTTAAGCCATTATTAGAAGTATAAATAGCGTTTGGTGTGTATTCACAGGCAGGCAGTTGAACATGTGGTTTGCTGCCAATTGATCATGAACGGAACAAGTTCACAGAAGGTATCTATGCCACCTCTCTATTTTCACCACAGCCCATTGGGTTCCTGAAAAGCCGTGCCTGACTGATGGCCGGAGGGATGTGGGATACGGATTGGGGGAAGAGAAGGCTGCAGCAGGAAGGGAATTCGCAGAAATCACCTCTTCTCATTTCTGCAGAAGTTCTTCCACAGACAGAACAAGAACTTGTGCCAATCCTCCTACTTGTTGTTGCCCCCATGTCGCCATCCCACATTGATCTGACCGATCCCTCAGGCATAGCTTTTTGGGGAGTGCAGGGGGCTGCAGTGAGAAAAGGGTTGTTGTTAGCCATTCAGTCGTATTTGACTCTTGGCGATTCTATGGGCCAGGTCTCTCCACGTTTTCCTATCTTGTACTTTTTCTTTGAGTTGTTTCATGCTCATGCTGGTGTTGACTTTGTCTAGCCACCGTTCTCTTTGGTGGCCACGTTTCCTTTTGCCGCTAACCAATCCAAGCATAATTGCTCTTTCTTGTGAGTTCTTCCACATGACATGGCCAAAATAAGTCAGACACAGTTTTGTGATTTTTACTTCCAGCGGCATGTCTGGTTTTACGTGCTCCAATACTTGCTTGTTTGTCACCTTTGGTACCCAAATTCGCTCTGCTTGCCCTTGATTGCATCCAGTCCTCTAAGGGTTATACTAAATAAGTTCATTGCCTTTGTCTAGTGATCGATAAGTTCCCTTACAACATGCCACATATGAGAAAAATGTATTTGGAGAACTTGGGGTGCACCCACCCAAAATTTGTCCTCTCAGCTGCCTTCTGGCACGGCCATGTTACTCCCCAGGAGCCAGGAAAAAGCTGGAGAGGAGTGAAGGAGAGGTTCCAGCAGGAGGGAGAATTCTTCTTTGGCTGACATATACCAGTTAGAGAAGAATTCAGCAGCTATGAGGCTTGCTTATTAAATTTGCAGATGATACTAAATTGGGAGGGGTAGCGAATACGGTAGAAGACAGAGTCAGGATACAGGATGATCTTGACAGGCTGGAAAACTGGGCTAAAACAAATAAATTGAATTTCAATGGGGATAAATGTAAAGTTCTGCATTTAGGTAGGAAAAATCAAATGCATAATTATAGGTTGGGGGAAACTCGTCTTGGCAGTCGTGTGTGTCTGGGAGAACTGGGTTTGATTCCCCACTCCTCCACTTGCACCTGGCTGGATGACCTTGGGCAAGCTGTAGTTCTGATAAGAGCTGTTCTTGAAAAAGAGCCATTTCTGTCAGAGCTCTCTCAGCCCCACCTACCTACTGTTGTGGGGAGGGGAAGGGAAAGGAGGTTGTCAGCCGCTCTGAGACACCTTTGGGTTGTGAAGGGCGGGGCATAAATCCAATCTCTTCTCTTCATCCATCTTGATTCAGGTTTCAAAACGTTTTCGGCTAAACATTAGGAAGAACTTCCTGACAGAGCAGTTCCTCAGTGGAACAGGGCTCCTTGGGAGGTGGGGGGGGGCTCTCCTTCTTTGGAGGTTTTCAAGCTGAGGCTAGACGGCCATCCGACAGCCATGCTGAGCCTGTGAACTCAGGAAGATCCTGAGAAGGAGGGCAGGAAGGGTTGCATCCAGTGTTCCCTCTAAGCCGAGTGAGTGTAAGCTAGCTCACAGTTTTTTAGCATCCAACTCACATATTTCTGTCTTCGCTCAGGAAGGGAGGGCTCCAGAGCAAACTAATTCATGCAGCAGCCAAATCGCTCGCTCCCAGCTTTAATGACAGTAGCTCACAAAGTAGAATATTTGCTCACAAGACTCCACAACTTAGAGGGAGCATTGGTTGCGTCAGGGCTTAGTTCTCATGGCCCTTTCTTACACGCCCAGGGAAATGCTGACCGCCACTTTGGGGTCAGGAAACAATTTTTCTCCAGACCAGTTTGGCCAGGGATCCTGGAGGTTTTTTGTCATCTTCTGGGCGTGGAACAGCAGTCAGTGAGGGTGTGGAGGGGGGAGGTATTTGTGAATTTCCTGCCTTGTGCAGGGGGTTGGACTAGATGACCCTGGAGGTCCCTTCCAACTCTATGATTCTATGAAGCCAGCCTCTTTTTGAACTGCTGAAGCTCGTACTTCTAGCCGAAGAAGTAAAATTTCAGAAGCGTCTCTGTCTGTGACACTCTCACTCTTTGCTTCTACTCTGTGCTCAGTTGCCTTTTCTTTTCTTTTCCAGGCCAGATGAGGAACCCATGGAGCAGGATCCTCCCCTGTAGCACTCATTTTCTGGGCTGGAGTTCTCCTCTTTGTTCGTCTTTGTCTTGGGGCTCTGCAAGGAAGTCGTCCCTTGTTAACTCCTGCATCCGGTCATGGTTTACTTCCAGACTACGGAAGGGCAGCCATGCATGGAAGAAAGCAAAAGTTCTCCGTATCTGTACAGAATGTGCTTATGGAAAAGGGGGAAAAAATGCAGGTGAAGAGCAGAAATATTAAAGACATGTGCACTGAGCATTCTTCCTCTTTCCTAAAGGGGAGCCGTTAAGAGGCAAGAAAGCAGTGAAGTATTTGGCAGAATTGCCAAAGGAAACAGATTTTCACACAGACATGACAACTTTCTTTTGAAACTGGTGCTTAAAATTTGATTACCCTCTGTTTCAGACCACTCAACCCATATTGGAAGTTTTTAATTATAATTTATTTTTTTTAAAGATTTTGTGGCTTTTGCCTCTCTGTGATTCAGACATTCTCTTCGAAACCCAAACAATATGAGGAGGGGGTTTTTTTTTTTCATATGAAGGGTGAAAAGAGAACAGATTTTTTTATACCTATATAGATACGTACGAGCAGACTAAACGTGTGCCGAGGAAGAACGTTAAACTGGGGCAGTAGCCCGGAAAGGGGATCGGCTTTAATATCTCCAAAGCCACCTGAAGAGTTTGTTGTGCCTTTAAATACAGATTGGATTGATTTGGGGGCAACTGTGTTTTTTTTTTTTTCCTGATGTTTTGAGGAACAATGCCTTAAAAAAAATAACAGAACTCCACAGCAGTTGCTCTGGCAGGGTAGGCGAAGAACTGCAATCAGCGAAGCAGGCTCTCGGATTTTGCGCTAGCATGAATCGCGTAAGCAGGCAGAGGCCGGAGGGTCTCTAAAATGAGTTTGGATTTTATTTTTTTGTTTCGGTTTATTGCTGTTTAAAATGATATTAAGGTAGTTGCCAGTAAAGTGGCAAATACTGTTGGGGTTCTAAAATTAAACAGGTTTTTTTTCAATGGGAAAAAAAACCTACAGTGTTTTCTCCTACCCATTATGTATAACCATTTAAACTATCGATTTGGTTGTAAAAGCATGCGACAGACTCAACTGCGACTTTAAAAAGACGACAGGAATGCTTTTCATTAAAAGCAAGTAGCATGAGAATATTGCTTAATATTTTAGCTATAGATGTATAAATGTATATCTATAATGTATATTCCAAATATATTCCGAGCTTAGAAGATAATGACTCATACAAATTTTGATTAAGTATTTATAATGCATTTATAAGAAATATATAAATAAATGCAGATTACAATGGTAGCCATTGGAAGGTCCCTTGCAGAAGACTTATTTGTGGACTGGAATGTAAGGGTGTTTTTTTTCAAAAAGGAATCTAGTTTGAAACGTGACCATTTTCAGACTATAGTTTGGAATGTTTTCAGAATGCCAACATTTTAGCCACTGGGCAACTACCCTAAACATTAATATCTTAATTTAAGGTTCTTAACTTTGATCCTCTTTTGACAGAATGGTTTTTTTTCTACAAAATTTGTTATTTGCTTCACTTTACATTTGTTTTTTTCTCACGACATTTCATTTATGCTTTCCGTTTGACAGCTGTTTCCAAACATTGTCTGAACCTGTGCCATCTTTCGTTGCACATTGTGTGTGTATGGGGGGGGAGTGTTCGTGTTTGGATTTTTCTCCCGTCAGTGGCTTTCACGGTCATGTGGAGTGGTTGAGGATTGCGGGGGGTTTCACTTTCAGAAAGCCCCTTTTTTTCCAGGAAGGGAAGGATTTTAAGCTCTTTGTTATATCAGGAAACACTGTATATTTCTCCACTTTCCCCAGTCATACTTGCTATGCTATATAAAGAAAATACGGAGCGTTCTTACCTTAAGACATGTTAGTATTACAAAGAGTGATGTATCATATATCCTCCATTATAGGGTGTGGCAAGATTTCTTAAAGGCATTAACAACTTAAAGGGACCGTGTGGAAGGCCTGCCACGCTCTGTCGGTGCAGTTTTAACTCTAATGCAAACACTCAGAACATTTCCTGAACTAAAGTTCTCTGGAAAGACTTATTTCACAGCGAATTGTAATAATAACAATATTTTGCAGGCTAGGGAAGAGCTGATCCTGGCCACCACATTTTTCCTCCTTTTGCCTTGTTGTGTGTGCGAGAGGGGTGTCACTCAGAATAAATAACTCATGTTTTTGTAGTGAAAACTGGGTGGCCGGAGGAGGCTGAAATGGTGTATTCTTTTTTCAAGCAATGTCGCTTCCTCCTCTGAATAACTGGAGGTATTTTTTGTAACTCTCCCCACCCCCTCTTAATTTGTGTTATAATAACTGACAGGGTCACTTTGTGGTAATTTATTTTTTGTTTTGTTTGGGGGGGGGAAAGAAATTCATTCCATGAAGAGCAGAGTGGTGAGAACGAAAACACAAAACAAATCTTGAGTGCACACAGGACAGAGTTTTAAAGACTGAGATATAATTTTCAAAGCATACACTACAATATTTGAGTTCTTTAACTAATCCAAGTACATTCAAATTGATGACTATTTTTTTGGCATTAAAACTGGCAGGAGCATACTCTGAGAGTATAGTTTGACAGTAAAGATAAAAATCATATATATTTTGTAAAATGACTGCCTTGCTGCTGTGATCTGAAAAGATTTTCGTTGTGGAATCACCTGATTTCATGTTTTATTGATCTACCCCTTTACCGCTGTCGGTAACTGTAATGCATCATTTCAGCCTAAAATATGTTTTTAATTTCAACTGCATGTTGTCAAAATGTGTACTTTTTTGCATTGCAAGAAACGATTGATACACAGCTCAGTGGTGTTGACACAACAGTTTGGACTTGTCAGTCATAGCTTCCAAGCTTTTCCAATAGCCACTTTTAAGATTTTTCATTGGTGTCTTTCAAAGCACGTTGCTACATCACTGTCCGTCCCACGAGACAAAACTCTTGCATCTTGTTTAAAATGATAGTTGTATAATCCCCTACAAGAATGGGGGTCTGGGTTTCCCTCTGCAGTTTATGTGCAATGGAAAGGGAACATTGGCCTCATGGGGTTTGAGGAGGTACCACTGTAGCCTTGATTTCTTTTCTACAAGTTTACTTGATATGGACCTGATGGGAATGCTTATGAGCTCTGTGTCCAAGCTGATTTAGGTACTGTACCTTTCATTCCCACATTTTTATATACAAATATGAGGTAACTCAGTTCCACCAGCAAGATACTAGTGGATGTTTTCACTAATCCAGCTTCCAGAATACTTGGGTGGCATATTATAAATTTTCTTTTGTAGCAATGAAGAGAAAAGAAGGAACATCTTAAAGCTGTATTACCCAGAAGTGACTCCTAGGTTGTAGTACACACAGTACTAATGATCAAGTATTTGGTTTTGTTTTACTTTCTATACACAGACATTCCTTTTTATTAGTCATGTACTCATTCCATTCTTCCTTTTGTAAACTTTTTGGGCCCACGTTTTATGGGCGTTGATATATATAAATATATATAAAATATATATGAATATATTTTTTTAAGTTTCCTACACCTTGAAGTTGCATGGTCTGTTAGGTTGGCATGTCTTTATATTGTATACAGATTTTGCACGCCACAGTTGGCAGCTTTGGAGAGAAAAAGAATTTCCCCTCTGATGGCATTAGCGGGTGTAAGGAAAAAAAAGAAGGTTGAAATGTTTCGTGTCATGTAGATTGATCAACAATGAAGAGCATGGAGGGGGAAGGCAGTTTGTCTTACTGAACTTATTAAGGACCTGTGCTTTTTATTGTAAAATTTAAAAGGACTACTTAAACACTTGTCATTTTAAGGGAAAAAAGAGATATCTAGCACTTGTGACAAACCAACAATAGAGTTTATTGTATTTATGTAGAAATAATGTTCCAGGAGAAACTACGCAGAACACCCACAAGTAAACTGCCTGTGTCTTCTTTTTTAAAAAAGGGTAAAAGAGGGGCAGGAGCTTGGTTTTTTGTTTTTGTTTTTTGTTTTCCTTTAGGCATGAAAGGGATAAGGCAGGCACAACCCTTTGCCAACTTTTTTTTTTTTTTTAGTAATCTCAGATAAACATGACAAGGACTTGAAGAGCAAACTCTTCAGCACAGCTGTGTTAACGTGTTTTTAATTTCTTGGAATGATGTATGAATAGATTTCAGTTTTAAGCAGTGACGTACTGTACAAACACTGTGGTTTCAAACCAGCAGGAAATGAAGTTTCTTCATAGTGATAGTTGAGTGTGGGGGGGTCCTCCCAACTTCACCTTGTCTTTGATATTGATTAAAAAGGATCTGAGAGAAAGAGAGAGAAAGCGAGTGAATGAATGTATGAGTGAATGGATTTAACACTTCTGGTGCTCTACGTTGGAGGCGCTATATATATATGAGTTGAAAAACTATTCACCCAGGAGCTTATTACAGATATGTAGTACCAAAAGTTGTAACTCTATTATAGTCTGCTTTATACCTATACATGCTCAGTATGTTGTCACCATTGGTAGCAGCTACCAGTTTATTCTGTAATTTAGACGGTTTCATTCTTAACTGTATGAACCCTTTAAGTGATGCTAGCATATTCTTTGTACTTAAATTTACTGATGACCTTTTTTTTCCTTTACTTGGTGAAGTTGAAAGTTTTGTTACTTAGCTTTCTCACTTTCCTGTTTTTGTTGTTTTGTTTTCATTTGTTTTTTACTGGCCAATGGTGTCTTTCTCTGATAATACCAACTTCAATTTCAACTTTAATAGAAGTCCAGTATTTTGTACCACATTATGACAACCTGTTATTCTTGTGGTGTAAATAAAAAGAAAAAGTGAAAAGAAAAATGTACCATCTCTATTGTTGATTTTCATATCTGTTGTGTCCTTTTTCATTTTCTGGCTCACTCTTGTATCCCTGTACCAGAAAATTACTCAACACTTTCTACACTTCCTTCAGATCTCTGGAGTAGGAAGGTTTTTTTGTAGGTACATCTT